GAAAGCGCGTACATGCGCGTTCATGATGCTACGGAAGCCGGCAGACCAAACCAGATGAAAGTGCGCATTCAGCGTCTGCTCTGCCGATAATGCAAGCGTAGAAGAAGAAATGTGCTGCAAAGAAAGAAACAACGAAAGAAAAATGTCTGAGGACTGCAGTGTTGAGGAAGAGCATGAGTTCTTTGCCGATCTGAATGCGCACTTTCATCTGGTTTGGTCTGCCGCGGTTTCCGTAGCGTCGTGAACTCGCAGGGGCGCGCTTTCAGGAAATCCTATACACCACTGTTTATGCTCTAAAAACATTCTAAATGACTTCGTTTCGAGTAAATTCTGGATGCTACCCACTCAGGACACTTGGAATACATTGGACGAGCAGTATGGAGGAATATTGACATGTTTTTTGTGGACTTTTATGGACCTTTCTGTCTCGGTCACCATAGACCTCCATTATTTGAATGTCAGCAGACAGCAAGAAGCCTCCCAGATCTCCAGATGCATTTGAGATATCAAAAAAAGTACTCCAGAGTGTTGTTCAGCATGGGGGTGAGTAGAAAATGAAGGCTAATCATGTTTTGGGTGGACTATTCCTTTAAGTTCTGGTTCCTGTTCAGTGATCATGTCCAACTTTGTTTGTGATGTGTAGTTTAGTAGAGGACTTTCCACAAGGGCTTGAAGACTGCAGGAACCCGGCTTTGGGTCTGGAGGAATTACTAAAGCGGCGAACCAAAGAGCTCCAAGGAAAAGAAGAAAGTCAGGTAAATAAAAATAATACCTAAAGCTTTATAAATATGTTTATTTTTCTACATTTAGTCACATTAAAACTGCAAACTTCAATGTATTTTATTAGGGTTTATGTTGTAGAGCAACTTAGAGTAGTTTATGTTTACGAAGAAGACGGGAAAACGTCACTTTTTTTCCCTTTTACTCTGCTATCACCAAATAAAATTTACTGTTATAATCTATTGATTGTATTCCACATATCCTTCATGGAGAAAAAAATAATTTATCATAGAACTCAATAGCAAGGTATCAGAATAAGAGTTCAGAAAACGTGTTAAAGGTTCTCAGGTTAGATGGGACAACAATTTAACTGTTTTATATGGAATATAACTTCACATCCGACTTTTTAAGGAACACTCTGTGTTTACACCTTGAAGCTTCCTCTGTCTGGTTCTTCGCCTGAGAAGAGATTTATTTTAAATAACTCTTCATAATGTATATTTATTTAATAACCAGGAGACATGACAACAGATTTGACAGAAATTGTAATCTTACACAGGCCAGAGAAGTTGCTTAGGGTTACAGAACGCTGAGGTTACTAACCGAGCTCGCATCTCGTTGACGTGGCCCTGAATCAAAGTTAAATAAGCATTTTATAAAATTCAAGTCTGCCACATCAATACATCATTACATAATACAGGTTTGTAAATGAGATGTCTAGCCTCATCAAATTATTGTATACACTGTTTTTAGATCAAGAACACCACTCTCATTTCATTCCCAAATGGTTGCTATATACATGATTACGATTACATCCTGACAGAAGGATTGTCCTTATTAGATAAACTACTGGGGAAAAACATTAGTTCTGATACACAACAGGCAGGAATTCTTAGGGTTTAACAGAATAATTATAACACACTTAACACTACATGTTTACAGTGAAGCATGGTGATGGCAGCAGCAGGCTGTGGATAAGCTGTTCAGACTGTTTAGAAAGATGATGGAGCTTAAATCCATGTGTGTTTATCTATATAATTTTTTAGTTGTTAGGTGATTCAAATCTTTAGACTTTATGCAGATTTTATTTGTCATTTTGTTTACACAAGTGTAAAACAAAAAAGAAATTTAGTTTGGAAACAGCTCACCGGACAGTTTCATCTTTTTAAAAGTGCAGCCTTGAAAAATAGTATCTATATATAAATCAGTTGCATAAATCAGTTTCATTTTCAAATTCACTTTTAACTCATGATTAATGTGACTTTAATCTAAATGATTAGTGGATTAAGTTTAGCTTTTGGTCATTACTACTTTCTAAAGTCTACGTATTTTTCCTTAACAGGAAGAACTGGATTTCTGTGAGCGTTTGAGAGTTCTGTGCTTCAGCGTGCAGCAGACAGATGATGTAGGGATGGATCGCTGAGGCTGTTTGGAAGAAAAGCAGAACATCCATGAGCTGACTCATGGATGCGGAGCAACGATTTATGTCTGTTACGACAGTTGCTGTGGATATTTTGCATGTAATCCAACTGTTGGATTTTACTGTGTAAATAACTACTCTGTATAAAGTGTCTGTTAAACTCTGGCGCTCTTTCACCATTGCGCTTGGTTCTTGTTTTTATCCTCATATATCACCAAAGTTTCCCATCATAAATATTTTTTTTTTGTTTGTTTACATAGAATTGTTTGTTTTGGACACATCAGAATCCAATTTTAAGATGTTTTCATTCTAATTATTAATGTTTTATACAAAACACTCACAACTGAGGACATTAGAAATATTTATAAATAAATACTGCTGTTAACATATACTCAGTGGGTTGTTTTATACTATGACTTGTACAAATTAACATGAAATTAGATGTCACATTAAAGAAAAATACAATACTCACCAGTGTTTTACAAAAGTTATCAAGCCTGGTGAACCGTTTGTCACCTCACAACCACCAACATCAATGCAGTTGAATGGAGTATAGTTTCTCTAAGAACATATTTTCGAAATGAGCGGTAGAGGACGAAATGACATAAGTAGAGGGCGAACTCTGTGTTTACGGAAGCAAACATGGATGGTAGTGCTGGAGGGGCTGTAGCGATCTTTCATTTCTTCTCCAAAAGGAGCCCAGCACATTGACAACGTAATCTTTTCAAAAAGAAAAACTCTGCATTTTTGTCCGCCATGGTTCTTAAGTGTAGCAAGACAAAGAATAAGGAGCTTTGTTGAGTATTAATGATGTTCAAGTCTGAATAGGACCTGGCCGTTCACACACAGGTTGCATTTGAAAAGATCTGATATGTATCGGATTCCGGAACACATAGCCACGTGGCTATGTGGTCCTGGGTCGCGATTGAAAAAATCTGATCTGCGTTGTTCCAACTGTCATGACAAGATCAGATACAGGTCACACATGGGTAAAAAGAAAAATCATATTTGAGTCACTCAGGCTGCTGTGTGAAGGTAGCCTAAAAGACTTAAAACTCAGGGCAGGGTCACCTTCCAGCAAATAAATCACCCCAAACACAAAGCCAGAGTGTTTTTGAGATTTAAGGTTTACCGTGTTAGAAATTCAAAACAAAATATAGTTAGGACTATTTTGGAATAAAGAATTTTCAAAAAAACTTCCCTCTATGAGCAAAATTGACTTCAATAGGCTTAATAACCGAATAAAGAAGCCCGGCTTTCACATGAAATAAAGAGAAACTTGGAAAATATGAGTCACCATTTTAAAGTAAATACTTTTTTATTGAATTAAAGGAAATAGCTACATTACAGTTTGTTTTAACACAATAAAATACAAAGTAGTTTATTGGGTATGAATACTTTGGCAAACCACAGAAAACACTGAACACTGATATCCTTATTTTCCTTTTAAATAAAACTGTGACTATAAGTAGAGTCTAAAATTTTACTAGTATCTAATCAGCAGTTTTTGTTCTGAATTTAGTCAAACATACTTCTGAGGTCAGGGATTCCTCAGGGATCCAGCTTAGGACCGCTTCCACTTTGAAAAGTCATCCTTGTTCTCCACCGCTTTTATATCACCCACTGCAATCAGCAGCTGCGCCAAATAATACGTTATCATAACAATGATCTGACCATGCTCTACCGGCGGCAAAACTTTAAAAACCTGCAGAGCCAGAGACGCATCAGACACCATGAAAGACAAACTCCCCAATAGCGTGGCTACATGGCGGGTTCGAATGGCCAATGCAGCCATTACAGTAATAAGGATGAAGTAGATGCCCACACCGGGAGTCAGTAGATCAGGGTTTGGTGCCTTCTGTAGGAAAGGAAAAAGATAGATGTAGAAAGCTCCCCCCACGATAAGAAGGATCAGATACAGGAGACGGTTCAAGGTGGAGGCAGAGTCTGTTGCATATCGACTGGATAGAAAGGTGACAGAGTAGAGCAGGTGAGCCACAGCGAAGGCGCCCATTCCTGAAAGAGATTAATAAAAACATTCTTCTGCTCATAATTCACTTTAATCCAATAAAAGGAACAGTTTAGATATCTTCCTACAGAGGGAGCCCTACTGGATTTAACTGGCCCATTTGAAAACTGACTTAGCTCCATCTCTGTTCTGTTAAAACAAGATGCCTACCATGAATGAAAAGCTCGGGCCATATTAAGCAGCAGTCCCCAACGGCGGAGAAGATCAGTCCTCCTGCCACACCTAAGAGACTCTGTCCTCCATTCCAGCTCAGGACCGCTGCAGCCAAAAGAAGAGTCGGGGCTGATTTGACCCCTGCAGACACTAATGATGGGACAAGTTCAGGAGTCCAGAGGTAGAAGTATAAAGCAGACGACAAAAAGAAAGGCAAGAGAGAGAAAAGGAGGGCACAAGACTGACAGAAAGGAAAAGTAAGCAGATAAAAGGAAAACATTTTTTTCATGTTATTAAATTCATAATTTGAGGCAATTTAACTGATTCAGTAATCCTATAGAAGCATTTGGTAATAAAAAATGAAAAGATTTGGGGTAAAAATCACCATATATCTCCTCTGCCGCTTGTCATAGGCATCAGTCTCGAGGATGTCCATCTTCACCCTGTCAGCTCAGTTTTCTGATTCCCTCCACTAATTAAAGTTGTGCCCTAAAAAACACCAGCATGCAGACCTCAGATGTTCTCCTGCGTCCCTCTCATTGAATGTTTGGAGCTTCTTTCAGTCCACTGGGTTTCCACGAACATGAACTTTAGACTAGTACTTCCTGTCTAATTGCACTCTGATAATCAATGTTCTCCTCGTTTCAAGTTCTCATGGACAAATAGCTGACCTTTCACCTTTCTAGTGGTAATATGCTGATGACATCAACATGCGGGGGACAAAGTCGAACTACGTGTAATAGGTGGGAATTTAAATATAAAATATGATTTACAAATAGACAGGTTTTTGATCTAAGATCCAAACATCTGATATTTGGCATTTATTTAAAAATATATCTGATATCTAAATAACCCTTTTTAACAAACTAGACTTATTGATATTTATTGCTCAGGTTTACAAAAAAAAAAAACAAAACAAAAAAAACCTTGAATGATAGAATTTATAAACAAAAAGAACAAAGGATGATGAACGTTTTCACAGTTATATTTATCTGAAACACTGAAATACAGATGCTAAAACTAGAGCAGACTGTCTAATACTGTCCAAAGAAAACAATGATTAACTGAAGCTGCTCAGCGTCAAACTTTAACCTTTGTTTTCCCATGATTCCTAGTTTTGAGTCGTGGCTGGCTGTTGTTCTTCACAGCAGAAGACAAAGAGGTGGAGGGGTTTATGACCATCAGGTAAGAGAGAGCAGTAAATATAGTAATGGTGTTAAAGCTAAAGGTTTTATTTAATCAAATTGTGGATTTTCATTCCTCTTCTGTCATCTGGACAGATTATGGATGCTAAATCTTTCACTCTGAGAGTTGGAGTTGTAGGATATGGACATTTAGGTATGAACCCCACAGTCACATTCTTTGGAGGACTGATCATTGTTTGTCGGACAGTGTGTGGCTGGATTCTTTGTGTGATTTAGGGCAGTTCCTGGTGGACAGACTCCTCAAAGCTGGACCTGGCCTTGGTTTGGTTCTGGGTTTTGTCTGGAACAGGAATCCTGACAAGCTCAAGGGTTCAGTCCCCACTGAACTAATACTAGATGACCTGTCATCCTTTGCCAACAGGTTTAAATACACTCACATGCAACACTTTGCAAAAAAAAAGTATTTCAAGTGAAAAGCATGAAAAATAATATCAATCTACAATCATAGTCTAAACAGAGAGGAGAATGCAAGGTAAACATCAGTTCAATGAGTCATTCATACATCAGGGTAAAATGAAATAGAAAGGTTATGACGTTTCGAATATAGCTAAAAATATCCTCAGCATTACAAGTTTTACAATCTGTTGTTTCTAGCTTTAGCTCATCTGTATTTTATGGTAGAACCTCATAAATTTTAATACATAATAAACATTATCACTGTATGTCATGTTACAACCACAAACATCTATGTACAAAATAAAGTAGTGCACATTTTTTAGATTAATAGAAAATTGGGTTCATAATTTTTATTCCTGTCAACAAACATTGTGGTGGACTAAGATGTAAAATCCCCTAAATTTCTGTAGTTGTGGTTGTAACAGCATCCTGAACAGTGAAACGTGTATGAATCCCACTGCAAGGCAGCCAACAGTACCAACAAATTGTATTATCTGTTGAATGTTTTAAAGGAGTCTAATAATACTGATGGTATCACAGGCGCTGCGATGTGATTGTAGAGGTCTGCCATCCACAGATCGTGAGAGATTTCGGGATTGATTTCCTCTCTAAGTCCCACTTCATGGTGAGCTTCAGTTTACCTTAGTTTACTTTTCCCGACAGTCTAGATTTTTGTATTATTTTTCTCATTAAATGGCTACAAAGAGAAAAGCATTGGTTTAAAGGATGTGTTGTTGATTAACGCGCACCTGGAAACTGAAAAATTTATATTGAGTGTTATCTCCAGATAATCAGAGTTCAAGTATGTAAGCATGTGACACACAGCTTAAAGTTTTTTTTTTTTTTTTTTTTGATTAGTTCTCTGTATTCTACTCTTTTCTATTCTATACTATTCATCTCGTGCAGAAGTTCATATTTTTCCAAACTAACTTCAGAACATACACTATATTGCCAAAAGTATTTGCTCACCTGCCTTGACTCACATATGAGCTTAAGTGACATCCCGTTCCTAATCCATAGGGTTCAATATGACGTCGGTCCACCCTTTGCAGCTAGAACAGCTTCAACTCTTCTGGGAAGGCTGTCCACAAGGTTTAGGAGTGTGTTTATGGGAATTTTTGACCATTCTTCCAGAAGCGCATTTGTGAGGTCGCACACTGATGTTGGACGAGAAGGCCTGGCTCTCAGTCTCCGCTCTAATTCATCCCAAAGGTGTTCTATCGGGTTGAGGTCAGGACTCTGTGCAGGCCAGTCAAGTTCATCCACACCAGACTCTGTCATCCATGTCTTTATGGACCTTGCTTTGTGCACTGGTGCACAGTCATGTTGGAAGAGGAAGGGGCCAGCTCCAAACTGTTCCCACAAAGTTGGGAGCATGGAATTGTCCAAAATGTCTTGGTATGCTGAAGCATTCAGAGTTCCTTTCACTGGAACTAAGGGGCCAAGCCCAGCTCCTGAAAAACAACCCCACACCATAATCCCCCCTCCAACAAACTTTACACTTGGCACAATGCAGTCAGACAAGTACCGTTCTCCTGGCAACCGCCAAACCCAGACCCGTCCATCAGATTGCCAGATGGAGAAGCGCGATTCGTCACTCCAGAGAACGCGTCTCCACTGCTCTAGATTCCAGTGGCGGCGTGCTTTACACCACCGCATCCGACGCTTTGCATTGCACTTGGTGATGTATGGCTTGGATGCAGCTGCTCGACCATGGAAACCCATTCCATGAAGCTCTCTGCGCACTGTTCTTGAGCTAATCTGAAGGCCACATGAAGTTTGGAGGTCTGTAGTGATTGACTCTGCAGAAAGTTGGCGACCTCTTCGCACTATGCGCGTCAGCATCCGCTGACCCCGCTCCGTCAGTTTACGTGGCCTACCACTTCGTGGCTGAGTTGCTGTCGTTCCCAAACACTTCCATTTTCTTATAATACAGCTGACAGTTGACTGTGGAATATTTAGGAGCGAGGAAATTTCACGACTGGATTTGTTGCACAGGTGGCATCCTATCACAGTTCCACGCTGGAATTCACTGAGCTCCTGAGAGCGACCCATTCTTTCACAAATGTTTGTAAAAACAGTCTGCATGCCTAGGTGCTTGAATTTATACACCTGTGGCCATGGAAGTGATTGGAACACCTGATTCCAATAATTTGGATGGGTGAGCAAATACTTTTGGCAATATAGTGTATCTATAATCAGGGTTCAGTCAAAATTCATCAAGGAAATGTTGTGCCTGCCACTTAGTGCATAGTGGTTGCACTGGCATTAAAGGCTTCAAGGGGATAGTTGGGTTCAGCTGACAGGTAAAAGCATGAAACCTTATGGTGACACATGTTGCCATACCAGGTGGTAACTTGCTTGTTCACGCTTGATGGCGACTGGTGTTGCCACACCTTGTGGCAAATAGCATCATCACCCTTGGTGGGAACTGGTGTTGCAACACCTGGAGGCGACTGCAGTCTCCAAACCTAGTGGCGACTTGCTTCTTGATAATGATCTTTATAATGCAATCAATTGCTGTTTATTGTAGGCTTTTATTTTGTAGAGTACCTGCTGTCTTATTTTGAAGGACTAGTGGGACTGTGTCTTTAGCATACAGTTAGTGTCAGAAGCGATATGGAATCCATTTTATATGATTTCTTTTTGTTTTGAATTAGGATAGTAGATCCGTTATTACAATGAAAAGGGCTTTGTTTTTAAATATGTAATAAGGTATGTTTTGCAAAGAAAATGAAAAAAAAAAAAAAAAAACTGGTATAACAGTATAGGTCATAATGTTGAGCCATATGCTGCAATGAATTAGTCGGTATAATGTAGAAGTTTTTATTTTGTAGAGTCCCTGGTGTCTTACTTTGAAAGTCTATTAGGGTTGTGGGCAAAGAAAAGGGTCACACCCAGCAGTGATATAGCATAGATTTCCAATTGTTAAATCATTCTTTTCACCTGTTATTAGGTCAATAGATGCCATGTTACACTAGAAATAGGATTACTGGGATTACATGCATAAGTTAGATTACTCAAATAACATACTTAGATTACTCAGATTATTCGAATACATACATAGATTACTCAGACAACATACATACTTAGATTACATACATAGATTACTCAGACTACATACCGGTACATATAATTGAATGCAGGTGATGCTGTGGTGAGACTTCCAATTTCACTCTGCCTATTAGCTTAATTTCAGAAAACAAAATATGAAGTTTGTGGAAGCATACGGAAATGTTATACTGAATTTATTTTTACATTTTTATTCTAGTATTTAGCAAAGAGAAATGTATTCCTGCTGAGCTGCGTCCACATTTAGTTTTACAAGAACCACGTTGACACAGAGTGTCTTAATACCAGCGTAATCTAAACAAGATGGCCGGAAAAACAATTGTTATCCTCATTTCACTCTTGACACCAGTCAAAAAAACAAAACAGGCTTTGCACTTACAGCAGAAGAGCAATTGCAGCAGCTGGATTAATCAGCAGAAAATTGCCCTTGGAAATTTGGGAGTTTCTTGCCACTTGGTGCATGGTTGGTTTACTCCAGTAAAGGCGTAAACCATATGGCGTAAAAATATGTGGTTGGTTGAGTTCAGCTCGCAACAGGCAAGTGCGTCAAACCTTGTGGTGACATATGTAGCCATACCAGGTGTCAACTTGCTTGTTCACGCTTGACGGTCACTGGCGCTGCCACACCTAATGGGAGCTGGTATGGGAATCTGTGTGGTCATATGTGGTCGCGATAACTGACATTATTACACATAGTGGCAATTTGTGTTGCGATACCTGGAGACTGGCTTTGCCTCACCTTATGGAGAATGGTCTTGCAACACCCGGTGGTGACTTGCGTCGCCCAACTTGGTGGCAGCTGTCATTTCCACATGTAGTGTCGACCTGCGTCATGATAAATCCCAGTGACATTCCTCGCTCCTTGCATTGCTATGTATGAATCCTTCAGATACAGGATTTGTAACAGCTTATAAACTTAGTAAGGGGTTTTAAGAGGACATTTGTAGGCCCAAGCAATTTGATGTTGAGAGCAGACAGCAAGGTGCTGAAATAAGTCTCCAAATACTCTAAAACATCATTATGGGGTGTTCACAAGACTCTAGCTACTTTTATTGTGGTAGCGCATTAGAAAGGGAATGAAAAAGTGAATGTTTTATGGAAGGAGTGAATAAAAAACTCTGTCCTTAAAGACAAATGTGAAGGCCAAACAAAAATTAGCTGAGAAACCACAAATTGATTGATTGACTTTATTATTGATCTCACAGTGAGGAAATTCACTTGTCACATCTGCTCAATTGTTAAAAAGAAGTTGCCAAAAGGAGGAAAAGGTGCATTGGGTATATGCAGTATATTCTGAGCGTCCACATATATATAAAACGGGTTTTTATGTTTGTAAAACCTTTTTTTTTGAAGAACTGATATAACCATAAGGACTTTATGTGACTCACCTGAAAACATGGTGAACCTTTTAGGTGGGCTCTCCGTCTGCCCTCGCCAATCATGATCTGAACGAAAAGCTGCGGCAGGCATCTCTCCAACATGAACGGACGCTTTATATCCCCAGTGGTGCATTATGGGGAGGCCAGGACATCCAAAGAATGAATGATAGCGGGACTTTAAAGGTAATCCTATGGATGGAATGTTAAGATTTAATAAACTGCCAGAGAAAGCAGCTTTTTAAGGGGTGTTACCCAGATTGAGATTTGTTATGTTTCAATAACCAAAACATATGGAGTTCATTACAGGTTTGCAGAACTATCATAAGCATACGAGGAGCTGAATTAACAGCTAACCAGAGGTTTCTCTGAAAAATGTCTGGAATCCTTCCAGGCTTTGTTTATAAGAATGTCCAAGCATCCATCGTGCTATCGGCTGACAGGAGACATCCTCAGTGACTGGTCAGAGGGAGAAGGCAGGCGGGTTTTATTCAGAGGCTCAGTAGCAGACTTGTGTCCTCTCGCTCCTAACAATGTCAACACCATGGCAGCAGCAGCTGTGGCCGCTGGGTCGCTCGGTTTTACAGGTGTGCAGGGAGAGATCGTATCGGACACAGCGTGAGTCTCATATGTCACACATCTAAAAATTACAGCAGCTGGTGGTTTTTGTCTGAATTATCAGGGGCTGTGGCTTTTGCACATCAGGTTGAAAGACTTTCATGTGGTGGAGGTGGAGGTGACTGGGCCTGATGGTTTCTCAGTGCACACAGTGAGGAGGAACCCAGCCAAACTCGGAGCTGTGACTGGCAGTGCAACCTACAACTCCTTCTGGAACAGCTTACTCGGTGAGTGCTGTGCAGCTCCAATTAGCTTTATTTGTATTCTATGTGACAGATAAACACAAGGCTTCGTCTTTTTAAGGTGGAAGGAACTCACAGTTTACCATCAATTATGAATAAAAAGCAGAGATGCTTATTTTTCAGCTCCTTGTGACTCAAGTCGTCGAAATATTTCACAGTAATTACAGCTGAAAGTGCTTTAATGATCTCAGGCATTTTAAGAGATTGGTACAAATGAATGCCACAATGATTTACTACAAATATTTTTAGAAAACCATTGCTAATTTACTTCTACCTTGACAATTATGCACCATTTCTTTTGCTCACATGAAATCTGTTAAACCCATTTGTTTTGTGACTTTCAAGATAAACGAGGAAATGTTCAGGATAATGGAATACCTTTTGCACAACACTAAAAGTATATGAAAACCCACAAAAATAGAGATATTTAAGTAACTTTAATAGTTTGCAACATTTTGTTTCTTTCAGTTTGCAGAGGTCATGGCGGCAGAGTTTACTTGTGCTGAAAGTTGGACGAAGACCATAGAGGATCACCTGCACTGCAGGAGAAGGATCCCCGACCAAATCCCAGATAAATTAAAGAGCTGAGAGTGGATACGCGCGATGGACCTCTTCAGCACTGCAAACTTCAATCAACTGAATACTCAGTATAAAACAAGAGGCAGAAATCATTGGTAAAATACTAACCGATATAGATCTTCCCATTTTATTTTTAGTTTAACAGGTGCAACACTGGAGCAAACAATATAATTCATACAGAGGAGTGACAGAGACAGGACATCCCTGGTAAAGACCATCATCCAACCTTCATCTTGCTTCACAAATAAAGCACAACGCTTCTTTTACCACTTTCACAAACAAGTACTTCCTTAAACAAAACCAACAAATCTCCACACAAGTGCATATGTTGATGTTTTAACGGATGTAAAAATGTGGCTCATCAGCGACCGTCGGAAAACTGATACAATAAGGCAAAAAAAAAAAAAAAGAAAACAAGATGGAATAACACACATCATGCCGAGTTCCAGCAGAGGTTTTTGTTTTTGTAAAATCCCTGTATTGTGTGCTGTCCATCCTATTTCCAATCTGGGATGTTTGTGGTAAACAAGGCATTTTTGAAAAAACAAACGGAGGATTGTTTCATATAAATATGTCAAGCTGGTGAAAAGATGGAGGCCAATGGTGATCTTTATGTCTTCACTTTGACCACTTGTTAGAATAAATGTTAATGAATCTGTTAGCTTATTAATGCTTTAGACCAAAATTATTTACCGTTAGCCCTCTACCATGAACACAGGGCTTTGCTACCATTTTAGTTCACTGGTTCCTGTACCTATGCTTCCAGCCTAATGGTTACAGTGCTGGTGTATTTGAAAAATAAAATACCAAAACTAACAGACAATTTTAAGGTTCTGAGGTAAGCATTGGTTGGGAAGACACAGACAGTGATGTTCTCCTTTTCACAGAAAGCCACTACGAAATTCATCACACATGAATACAGCTGCACCCATTTATCAAGTTTGTAGTGCAAGGATGACTAATGATTGCAACAGATACATTTTTTCACTAGTGAGGTTCAGCATGATATTGTAATGCATATGAGAGAGCACGCCTCAGTTTTTCTCGCTAGCCTCTTCCTCCCCGCTCCCATTGGCTCCAAGGATGACTTTGCCTTTAACAGGCATGGTGTAGGGCTGACGGATGTTCACCCTATCCTTCTCGGCCTCCAGCTCCTCGTCATAGCGCTCGTCCTCATCGTTGTCTTCAGCCTCGCTGTGGTGCGGCGAGGAGTGGCGGGACAGAGCTGGAGATGGAGGCACTGAGGCTGGTCGAGGGTAGCGGAAGCCTGAAGCCTGTGAAAATGAAACAAGAATTAAATTAAAGTGACAGAACAAAACACAGAAAAGTTTGATGGGAATAAAAAAAAAACATTTTAAAAAAATGGGACCAAGATAAATAATTTCAAAACTTTTTCCCACCCTTTAGGCGATACATGTTAAACGCAATTGAAAACTAAACTACTGTGGTTCCCAGAATTAACCACCAGATTAAAATCATGGCGATTTATCAAAATGTATTAATGTTTAATGGACTCAGAAATGACCATTTTCTTTAAACACAAGCCTGCATATCATCAACAGAGCCCAGTACCTACAGTGAAGCATAATAATGGCAACATCATAGATTGGGTTGTTATTTTTCTTGCTTCAGGTGTAGCTGGGGCTCCAAATACTAATCACTGATAGTACGAAGCCTTCAGGTTTTTTTTCATCCTAGTCTTATTTTCTTTAAATCATAAAAACTGGGTATGTTGCCAGAGGGATATAGACTGAAGCGAACAGCCTTAATATCACACATAATCTTACCGAGGAAGGCTCATGAGGGTCATATATGAAGGTGTCAGGGAAGGCTTTGGCCAGGGCCATATGGCGGGCAGCTATGTAATACTAAAGCAGAAGAAAACACAATAAAGGTAAATTCAAATTTAGCGCATGGCTGCAAGATTATGTGCAGGATTAATAATCGTACCCTGCCAAGATATCTCCAGTCCAGAAGGTCACTCAGGCGCTCTGTGCGATTCCTCTGGATGATCCGCTGGCGTCGACTCTGCTTGCAGAACTGGAAAAGGAAGGAAGTGAGCTGGTTGCAGGACTCGTCGACACCCTTGTAGCGCCGGTCAAGGATGTAGATACCTATCAGGGGTAAGGGCACAGTGTGAAATGGAATCCCTTTCATCAATGTGGAAAAAAGTTTTTTTAAGAGTAAGGACAGTGAATAAAAGTACCCACCATACGCAGAGGGGTCTGCTATGTGTTCCTCCATGAAACATCCGAAACCCGACAGATTAGTGGATATAGATGGAATGCCCATCACCGTGCACTCAGCTGTTAACAACAGGAACATTACAATTCAAGCATAGCATGAGAAAAACATCAATGAGTTCAGCATTCATTTCCCATACCTGGTGTATAACCCCAAGGCTCATAGTAAGACGGGAAGACACCCAGGTGGCAACCTCTGACAAACTCCTCATAATCCATGGGAAGCAGAGGAGAAGTGGATGAAAGGAACTCCGGGTGGAAGATTATCTGGGAAAAAGGGGAAAAATGGTTGCATTTAAGCAGAGGACTTGATCACAACTAGATGTTCTCACAGAACCAGAATGTGTAAAATGAGAACATTTCTGAGGAAGTTCAACAGTCCCATCAAACTGCAAAATGCCTGGTTTAATTGCTGGTTTACACCAAACAGGGTTTTATGCCTGATACTAAAGATAAATGAATTTATAAAGATCGTTTCCAGTCACAGAACCACATTCTGTCAAGCATCCAAACGGCCACACATTCAGAGCCCCGATACACTGATCTGGGGGCTGTTTGGGGTGAAGTTGCACAGGGGGAACATGGACAGCTAGCAGGAATGAAACCGGTTTCAAATATCCCAATGATACTCTAAACAGTAATATATGCAACCTTCCTTTCCTATAAGTGTAAGCTCCATTTTGAAAAGCAAATATCACTTTTCTTTATCTGATTAATGGTTCAATTAATTAGAAATAGTCTTACTTTGGAAAGTGTTAGCTTAACTTTGTAATTATAGTTTTTAATTCCTTCAGCTAGAAAGTCAGGCAAGAGGAAAATCTATTTCCATATGTCTAAGATTCCACCTGCTCAGAGAGCTTATTTTCTGAAAGCAGTGTCGTTTTTGACAGCCATCTTAGATTTAGTCTTAGTCTTCAGGATGAAAACTATTATGATGGGGTATTTTCTGCCCCGTCGCTGCTGCCATGATCCTTCTGTATTCATGCAGAATGTGTAGCACTGCATGTCAGGAGGAGAGCAGGAACAGACAGGACACAGCAGCACGGCTAATACTGCTTAGCAGATTACAGCACGATAGTGCGTTTTAAATGTCTGACCGAACACCCACTAATTTTTATTTTGTCTTGTCTCGTTGATGGAAAGTCAAACCTATGACCTGTCATGTTTAAGTCATCAAAGATCCATGTTTAGCTAGTCAGGTTTTTTTTTGTCATCATGAAAAAAAGGAGCGACAACTAAATAATGTCGTCATCGTCTTCGTTGATGAAAACAACCCGATCTGAAAGGTTATTTTAAAGCCATACGCAACAGTAATCAGGAGTCTAGTTGTAAAAAAAAATGAAAGGGGATGATGGAATTTTTTTTTTTTGGAAGCAGACATAGCCTAATTAATATAAGAATATGTATGGAATGGTTGTTACATGTCAGGTATGCTCCTGACTTTGACAAAGGGACCTTACAGTAGAACTGCCGACAGTCCCTGGACTGGCATGGCTGTCACTGACCCTACATAGTTAGGGAATAATCTAGAGGACAAATTTCCCACTGGGATCAGCTTCATAGTCATGGTAGGCCACTTCAACTGTGGGCAACTCATAAGCCCACAGCCCGCCAAATGTTGAAAGGGCAATATTATTGCCAGAAATTTTACATATTCAGAAATTAAAAGTTACAGTGGATGGTCATTTAAGAAGGGGGACTTCATCCCCCCTCAACTTGAGTACTGACAGTAAGGGTTATATCTGCTCAATCCAAAACGTAAACTGGGTCTTTATGTTGGAGAAGGGAGCCTACGCTGCCAATAATGTAAACATGATCAATAAGCACAGTGCGCACATGTAAAAGCTAACCACCAAATGCATCAGCTAAGCCTCCCATCCCGTTCTGTACCTTGACTCTGTCAGCAGAGCTGTTGAAAAGGCCGATGCGGCGGACACAGTTCAGGATGGGGTCGCTGCTATCCTCCAGCATGTTGTGGGTGCAGACAGGAGGTTGGCATTGCCTCTGAGTCGCAAAGATGGCACGCTTCATTATGGTGAAGTCCTCTTTGTCCAGCATCTTTGAAACATCTGGCAACTGACCGCTAAAAGGTTAACAAAAATTTATAACACATCTAATTTGTATAAATAACTGAATTTTTGGTGGAGCTAATAAACGGGGCTAAACTTTTTAGTAAATGTGATTGGAAGTTAGTTTTTTATTGAGATTTTAAGTGATAGACTAATAGAAAGTAGAATGTTGTGGATGGTTTTCAAATGTTTTAATAAAAATGCACAGCCCACCCAATGAGTCAACCGCCATTTGCTGCAATTAAAGCTGCAGGTCTCCAATAGATTTGCAAATTACGGTACTTTTTTTTGGTGCATTTTTGCTTGCAAAAAACCTCAAATTCTGTTGGGTTGGACAGAAAGCATGTATAAAAGCCAGCTTTAAATTCTTACAACAGTTTCTAAATTAAATTTAGCTACGGACTTTGACTGGACCATTTTAAGACATTATAGTGCTTCCATCTAAACTGTTCTATTGTAGGGTCACTGTCCTGCTGGGAGGTGAATCTCAGGCCTCTTAGCAGGCCCTCTTTCCAGGAATAACTGGAAAGAGGGCCTTTTGTGGCCTTATTCACCTCCTACAATAATTCTGAGCAGCTTCCTAATACCTGCAGGCCAAAAGGATCCACAAAGCATGATACTGCCACCGTTGTGTTTAGGAGTGTAATTTTTTTTTCTACAGTATTTTGCATTAAACTCAAAATGTTCAGTTTTCGAACCTCTTCGGATCAGACTTACAAAGGTTTGTTTGCTTCAGTATTGGCCATATTACATAAACGATAAACTGTTTATGGTTTTAATGTGAAAAGATATTCAAGTGGTAAACAGATTTCTGATTTAAAAAAAAAAATGTGGTGAAATCTAGTCCGCTATAAATACCTTATATGTTTCAGGTTTTTACGCCAATTTCTGAAAATTGCAACCATTCATTTTTAATCTTGTTCAACATGGAGAAGATTCAGGTGTGGTCAACTTACACTAACAGTGATTCATAAAGTTTCTTTCCAAAGCGCTCCTTCACAGTCTGAGCTGTATCCCTGTCGGAAGGGAAAAAAAGAAAAGATATTTTATCATAAAATTGTACCTTAAAAATGCAGACATAACTCAATTAAACAAGCTCACCAGAGCTGCTTCCTGACTGCTTGGCCTTTCAAAGTCTCCACATTAAAATTGTTGGTCCGAGCTGGCATGATGAAGAAAGCTATAACAGTCACATCGCTGTGGTTCACCTGTGGAACAGCAGAACATTGAGCCAAGTTCTCCACAGCTGAGCTGCAACAGGTTCAGCAGAACCACTGCATTAACTTACCCTCAGTAGATAGTTGAGTCTGGCTAAAGCCTCTAGGAAGATATCTGCACCTTTGTTGGAGAATTCATACCTTCCAGCAATGAAGAGGAAAAGACACTTGTCCAGATTGAAATCAAGGTTCCTGATGGTCAAAACAATATGTGATAAAGTTCCATATCTTTATTTCCCACATTTAAATCAACTATTTTCCAAGAATTGAAATTGACATGTTTTCAGTTCTGAC